AAAAAAAAAAAAAAAAAGCATGGGGAAAGGCTTAAATCACCATTATCTACTTTCTGAAGTAGCTGCTATCCAAAAAGCCAACGGGTTGATGGTAACATATCCTATTCAACTACCTCACTGAATCAGTTCAAGAGGAGCAAAGATTTAATTAAGAGAGTAGATTGCAAAGGGTTAAAAGTCAATAAATCAGAAAGAGCGTGTTTATGTGTGTCTGCTCTTCACAATGGGGTGGGGTGGGTAAGTGGGAAATACATATATAAGACTGAAGTGATGGAGGGATACCATTGTCCAAGTCAGGACAGCCCATATACACCCTCTGGTTCCTTTCTCTTACCTTAATTGCTATGTTGTTGGATTCAGTAGCACCACTAGTGAAAATGATCTCACGAGGGTCAGCCCCAATCAGAGATGCTACTTGCTGCAAGCCAAGAACAGAGACACCTAACATCAGTTGCCCTGGCAGGAATGTGAGCGCAAGTACAGCTGGGACAGAGCTCTGGAGCAAGGAGAACTCCACTGCCCCAGGCAGAAGCTCTACAACAATATTACAGTCCTCACTTTAAATGTGAGAAATTGAAGCTTAAAGAAATTAGGTAACTTGACCAAGAACATTTAGCTAGGAAATGTTGGCGCTAATCAAATGCCTGAGGTCAAACTCTAGGGCCTCCTCTCTGAAACTATTTCTCAAGGAGCCCCTAACCACTTTCATCTCTGCCCACACCCACCAACAGTGAAATATTTCTCCCACAGGCCACTGAATATCTGACCTCAGAACCTCCCCAACTCTTCTTACTAACCTGGCGAGCATGTTCCATGGCTGCCTCACTCTCCCAGCCATAAGCATGTGTTCGAGAGTGTGGGTTCCCATAGTAGTTGATCAAGTAAGGAAGCATGGCATCAAGCACCCGGGGGTCCTGAGCACAAAAGAACAGATCAATCTTCCTGGGTACACAGTCAACCTAGGCTCTACTTCATCCCCTCAGACCTGCCCAATCTGCCTCAACACATTCCCAATCCTTCAGATATTGCCTAGATTAGGCCTCAAGCAATCTTCCATTGCCTCAGATACTAACCATATATTAACCTGATATACTCCCGCCCCCAATCAATCTCAAATCAGATTATCCTACTATTCCATCAGGTAATCTACAAATACTTCTTTGTTCTGACAGTTGTTTCTGCAACTGTTTCCATTCCTCAGTGGTGTGGAGGGTACAGACCACACCAGGTGTCAATGTCACCAGGTGACAGTGACAGAAGGGGTAACACCAAAATGATCAGCTATAAAATTCTTGTGCAGTGTTTCAGCAGAAATATATTATTTTTTACAAAAATATTATTTTTAACAAAATATTACTGTAGTTAGTTATGCTACCACTGGTTGTTGTGATACTAGAAGCTATATCACTGGTATTGCAAATACCAGCAGGGTCACCCATGGTGAATATATTTCAGTAGAGATTCCAGACTAAGACAGAGGAGGAAGAAAGACCTGGAGATCTACTTCCCAAAAAAATCGGCCAGTGAAAACATTATGAACGGTAGCAAAACATTATCTGACTTAGTAACAGAAGATGACTCCCTCAGGTTGGAAAGCACTCACACAAAACATGACTGAGGAAGCAATGCTCCTTAACACGGAGTCAATATTAATGACCTAAAAGGCCTCTTTAAAAAAAAAAGTCACTTTGAGAACTAAGGTACACCTGATTCAAACCATGGTATTTTCAATCATCTCATATGTATGCAAAAACTGGAAAAATGAATAAGGAAGACTAAAGAAGAACTGATAAAATTTGAATTATGGTGTTAGCAAAGACTATTCAATATACCATGGACTGCCAGAAGAATGAACAAATCTGTTATAGTACAAAAAGAATGTTTCCTTAGAATGAGGATGGTGAGACTCAGTCTCATGTACTTTGGAAATATTAAAAGAAGGGACCAGTCCCTGGAGAAGGACATGATGCTTGAGAAAGTAGAGGGTGAGTGAGAAAGAGGAAGACCTTCTGAGATGACACAGTGGCTGCCACAATGGGCTCAAATACAGCAGCAATTGTGAGGATGGTGCACGACTGGGTGGTTTCATTCTGTTATAGGATTGTTATGAGTTAGACTCAAGGCACCTAACAAACCTATAAAAGTTAGTTATAACAACAAAAACATTTTTGTAAGCCCAGCTTACAACTATCTATTTTCCACACAAGGCTAAAACTCTATGCTAGTTCATTTTTTGAACCTTCTAACGTGCTCCAGGGGAGCTCTGGTAGCATAGTGGCTAAGGCACTTGACTGCTAACCAGAAGGCTGGCGGTTCAAACCCACCAGCCACTCCTTGGAAGGAAGGTTGGGCAATCCTACTTCTGTAGTGATACTGCCTCGGAAACCCAAGGAGGGGTCGCTATGAGTCAGGGCTGACTCGACGGGCACATAAAACAACAACAACAACAATTTCACTTAGTAAGTGGCAGTTCAGTTTACTCTCAAGCTACTACTTTGAATTATTACTACAGTGCCTGCCAAGGTCAACAGCTAGGATGTATCAGAGCCATTTCCAGTGAAGTAGAGCTTAAGTCTTCCGACTCCTGGATCACTGCTTTTCCCAGCACATCTCAATGGCTGTAACTCGTACAGGAATCCAGACATTTCTGTTCAATGTCATATAATTCCTATATCCAACCCTGGGGAAAACTACCCCTCCGTCCTTACCAGAGGAGTTGTAGCTTGCACATCCATATAGAGAGGTCGCAGCACTGATTCCGCCTCTGGAACAGGGGCTGGATCTGAGGGAACAGCCGACTGAGGAGCATGATCTACAGCTGACAGAAAAGTGGAACAGAGTGGTCAAATGAGAAGGGATTCAGCCAAGAAGCAGAAGGTAAAAAGCTGGATGGAAGTGAGAAGGTAAATTTAAAGGATGCTGGAGTCAAATCTCAAAGGAAAAGGAGACAAAACATCAGAGAACCTGAGCAACTAAAAGAAACGGAGAGAAAGGGTTGTTTCACGAGTATGTTGGGAATACAGAGGGCTCTGATGGACAAAGTCATTCAGAAGGAATGTGGAAACAGGGTAGGTGAGGACTCTTTGAAAGGTTACTGGCAGGACGAAGTCTCGACCAGGATCTCTAAAAGCTGTCCAAGAGAGATCTGAAGGCCGAACCTCAAAGGCTCTGAGGGCCTGCGGCACAGGATCTGAGGGGCGGCGCGGCGGAGTCAACCATTTGGAGGGCTGGCTTGAGAAGCTTTGAGGGATGCAGCCGAGAGGGCAGTCAGAGGACGTGGGACGTGGGACGTGGGACGCAGGGTGGGCCAGGAGGTCTCCAAAATATTCAGGTGTTTAGCCAGGCTCCAAGGAACGTGTTCTCGTTCCCCCGAGGGATAGCAAGGAGCAGGACCCGGAGCATACCGCGCACGCGCAGCCCCCGAATGGGCTCCCGGGACTTCGATGCTGGAGGCGCCAGCACTGCCGCGGCCGCCCTCCTCCAGGAGACCCGCAGTAGCATGACCTAGACCACAAAGATCCCCTGTCGAAACTCCTGAGATCCTTGGCCCAGGGATCCCGGAAGTGCTGCGTACCGCCCCGGAAGGGAATCCACGGGTCGCGCGCGTTCTACGCCTCACGTAGCGAGTAGGACGTAGAGCTGAGCGACCGCAACCGCGAGCGAGGTGAGGTAGGGGGACCACTGCGCCGGGACCAGAACGCCAAGCGGGTGGTGGAGTAGGGCTACGAACTCCTTCTCCTTCCCAGACTTCCCTGAACCCTTGAGCCCTCTTCTTAACCCCGCCGGTCACCTGTCCTCCTCCCGACTCCGGAGCTGGCGCCCAGGCCCACTTCCCTGTCCCCTCTACCTCGCAGATGCCGGTGGCCGTGGGTCCCTACGGGCAGTCCCAACCAAGCTGCTTCGACCGCGTGAAGATGGGCTTTGTGATGGGTTGCGCCGTGGGCATGGCGGCCGGGGCGCTCTTCGGCACCTTTTCCTGTCTCAGGTGAGGGGCGCGGGCGGTAAACTCTGGGAGGGATTGCCGGACTGGAGTCTGAATAGAACGTATTTTGTTCCAATTCTCTCAGTAGCCTTTAGCGAGACCGATTTCCTTGCCACGTTCTGTCAGGAAGGACAGATTGAAAGCCTCAGTGTTTTAAGAATTCGTTCTGTGACCTTAAGGCAAATTGATGACGCTACCTTTCCTCAAGTGTAGAATGAGGACAGTAATGCCAAGCTACACCATAGCGTTTTAAGAATCAAGTCAAAGCGCACTTGGCACAGAGTGTAACATGTATTCAGTGCTCAATAAATGATTACCACCACTTTTGCTGCAGTTATTTTTATTTCCAAACTCCACTGCCTTCCAGTCGGTTCTGACTTACAGCAATCTGTAGGACAGAGAGATCTGTTTCCACGGCTGTAAATCTTTACAGAGGCAGAATGCCACATCTTTCTTCTACAGGGCAGCTGGTGAATTCTAGCCCCAACAGTTCCGTTAGCAGCCGAGCGCTTAACCATTGCGCCAGCAGGGCGCCTTCGTTTTTTTTAAATTTCCAGTTGCTAATGATGAAACAAAATTATGTTGAGACATTTTACTGCCCTGGAAACAGCATGCAGAGATGAAGCAGATAAACTGTACTCAGAAGGTCATTTTCACATCAAAAGAACCAACCAAACTCACTGCCATGGAGTTGGGTCCCACTCATAGCAACCCCTTCTTGGGTTTCCGAGGCAGTATCACTATGGAAGTAGCTTGCCCATCCTTCATGCCAAGGAGTGGCTGGTGGGTTTGAACCGCCAGCCTTCTGGTTAGCAGTCAAATGCCTTAGGCACTATGCCACCGCAGCTTCTCATTTTCATATATATGGGAACTGTTACTCTCCTTTTTTTCCCAGATTGTAAGTTAACTAAGCACTTAACTATGTGTCAACTGCTGTGCTAAATGCTGTATGGATGTTGTCTTATAACAACTCTGTGAACTGTGTTATTATCCCTATTTTTCCTTTGAGACAGTCTGTAAATTGTTGGATATTGAACCCAGGTCTGACTCCAGAATCCCTTGTTTTAACACCAGGAAACCACCTAAAAGACAAATGGCTTTACTGGATCATACATACCCTAGAGCACTTAATGATAAATTAGCACTTAAAACTAGTTGCCATTCCTGTGTACTTAAAATTACACCTGCTGAAGACAGTTGATATATGACATTCTTTATGATTGCTCCAGGTGGGAAAAGATAACGCCCAGCAAGTGGTAAATAAGGTTTGGGGAATGGCAGACTCAGGAGTGCTTGTTTCATCATTAGCAGAGACTGGAAAGGGTCATTTAATACTACTCCTTAAATTTGTGTTTCCAATTGGCCCTGTCTTGGTTTCCTCCTCACAGGATCGGAATGCGGGGTCGAGAGCTGATGGGCGGCATTGGGAAAACCATGATGCAGAGTGGCGGCACTTTTGGCACATTCATGGCCATCGGGATGGGCATCCGATGCTAACCAGTGCAGTGGTTGTCCACTACATCTACCCCCTCCCATCAGTCCCAGCCCGTGTACCATAATAAAACAATCTTTGAGTAATCCAAGTGTCTTAGGGGCATTTCACCCACTTTTCACTTATCAACATGGTTAGGTTACCAAGACAGGCTGTTTGGCGAATATTATATAACTTTATTATCTGCAGCCTCCCTTGCAGACACAGCTTCCATAATGCCCAGGCAGAGATGGAAGGGGATCCTACAGGCCACAGCCTGGTTTGGGGCAGTGGCTTCCAACTCTCCCTGGTTTGCAGTGCTCTTCTGCTCTTCTCACCCCTACATCCTGTGCTTCCTTCCTGGAGTTACCTCTTCCTTTCTGGGTCCTGTGCTCCTGGGGGAGTGGAGGAAGGGGGAGGAGGACAGCTGCCCCTCTCTTGGGCATGTGTGTTTCCTGGGCAGCTGTCACCACCTGTCCCTCCTGCACCCCGAGCAGTTGGGTAGCCAATTCGCTTCCTGTACTCTAGGTGTCCTACAGTGGCTGCGCCTGGCCAGACTCTACCAGCTCAAGTCTACTGGCATGCAGGAGCTGCTCCCTGGATCACCATCTTCTGGCTGAGGTCCCTGCTGCTTGCTTCTCAATCCCACCTTTTCCATTCACCCAGAACTTTGGAGTTCCTCCCTTATCTCCCAGGTCTCCAAACTCTGGGCAGTTGCTCAGGCTGCTGCAACAGCCTGCATAGATGCCTTTACTGCCCCCACGGTCCTGGCACTACAGGTCCACCTCTCCTTTCTGGTGCTATTTGAGATGGAAGAGGCCAGCTATTCTTAAGCTACAGGCCAGGCTGAGCAGCCCATCCAATGTGGATGATTACTCCAATATGCTCCATGGGGAGGGCCCACCACCAGACCCAGGCTGGGTTGTCACAACTGCCCAGTTCTGCACTTAAAGGCCCACGCAGCCCTACCCCAAGTACAGCTGCTGCAGGCTCCATGTGATAACTTGTCACCTAGTTTGCTTTTGCCAAGTGTACTTGCTAGCCTGGTGCAGTGACTCAACCCTCCAAAAGATGTTGCCTTCAAGGGCCACTTAACACTGTCTGGTCCCAGGCTCCTTTCTCCTAGTCCTACAGGAAAAAGTGTAGACCCTCCTGGTGCTGCTTCTACCTATCACTGGACCCTCACCTCATAGTGAGGCTTAATAGGTTATCAAACCTTGTCAGGTTGGAGTTAAGGTCCTACTGGTGCGGTAGTTAAGTGCTTGACTGCTAGCTACTAACCACAAGGTCTGCAATTCAAATCTACCAGCAGATCACCAGGAGAAACCTGGCAATCTCCTATATAGGTAACACCCTAAGAAACCCCGTGCAGCATTTCTGACAATGTACAGTGTAGACAAGTCAGAAAACAGATTGGTCCTATCGACACCATTTTAAAGGTGAAAAACAGGTGTGGTCTGGATTCCTCAGGGTTATCCCACAAAACATTTAACCTCCAAGTTTTATTTTCACTGCTACTTAGTTCATCATTTTGAGATTGTCCTTTGTATCAAGATGAGGAAAAGAACAAATTAAAATGAAAAAATGCAAACCAGCACTCATAAGTTGCTCAACTGGTTAATTTCAGATGATTTTCTAACTAGCAATGATAATGTCAACTGTTAACTATATAAACTGAACCACCCAAAGATATTCAAACTGGCTTGATATAGTAAGTTCTATGGCAGACACAAATGCCTCTCACCTTTTCTGGCCACAGAAAGGCCCAGGGTTGCTCTTGCTCTGACCTGTACTGCCTTTAAAAATGCTGCCTGAGCAGCTGACTTTAGATTATCACTCAGGATGGTAACTGAGCATTTCGTTATTCATGTTACCAAATTCTAACATTTCCATTGAATATAATTCATACACACATTTCTGTGTGGCGAACAAATTTTGGTTACCCCTTTTTAAACAGATTAAGCAGTTTGTTCAATATTGCCATGTTAGTTAGCCTACTTCCATGGAAAGGAGTAACAAAAAAACAACTGAT